ACCCCGCGACCTCCTTTCAGAAGACTTCTGAGAGGACGCATTTGCTGGCGTTTTGGAGACGCCCTTCTGTTCTTGAGAACGCAGAGGAGAAGGGGCTTTTGTAGGCTTTGTACGAGAAGCAGAAGATGAATTAGTAGACGCTTTATTAGACGCAGATGTAGTGTGACTATTTAAGACGATTGAATTATCGGGGAAAATCCCAGACCGATCCAGTGCCCCAACTGTCTGATACAACCACATCTGACTTACTTGATTTCTTTTTTTCTTTTTTAGAAGGTGATGATATTGAGCTCTGTAAGGAAGATTGAGTTGACTGAGTACTGGTTTTAGAAGGCTTTGATTTTCTTGGAATAATTTATTTATCGGAAGTTTCTAATTGAACAGGCAACATTGTAAAAGTTTCAGCATCAATTGACCATGTCATGCGAGTTTGTGTACTCTGACTGAATGAGCGGCCAACTTTGCTGTCGTACGATGGTTTGTTCGAAACTAGAGGATCACTCGAAACAGAAGCTATCTGTTTAGCTTCTTGGTAACTGATGTTTCTTTCTGTTTTAATTTTAATAATATGTTTTTTCTTTCCGGTAAACAGGACAGTCCCTAGATGATGAAAAATGGGATTCACCACAGTTTACGCATTTTGAAGATTCAGAGCTACAGGTTATTCCCTCGTGTCCTTCGCCAGAACACTTGAAACATCTCTGCGTACCACGACATTGTTTGGTGCCATGACCAAACTTTTGACAAGTGAAGCATCGAATTGGGTTAGGGATAAACATGTCAACTCTGATTCCGAAGCAACGTAAAGTAATAGAGGAAGGAGGAGTTGGAGTTCTAAAGGTCAGAAGATATGTATTTAATTTTATTACATTTCCATTCTTTTTCATTTTAAATCTTGCAACATCAGTTACACCTTGGCTTGAAAGTTCCTCACATATTTCTTCCACGGTAAGGTCACCAAGGTATTGACTTCTGTCTCGAATGATCCCCTTACAGCTGTTCAAACTGTTGTGAGGAGAGGCAGAAACAGGAAAGTTTGTAATTGTTCTCATTGTAAGCAAACTTGTTCTTTCATATCTATCAAGAAACGGCTAACCCTTGCTGTTGAATATGGCTTTGGATTCATTTTCGGAAAATCGATTTTACGTCTGCTAAAACAAAATGTATGGTTTTATGTTGATTGGAAATATTATAAATGTAGAATTTTGGTTATTTTCTTTCTGTTTGTGTCGTAATTTTTTGTATTTTGATTACTTACTTTTTTTCGACATATGCTTATGAAATCTACTATTCTACAAAAAAGTAGAACAAGATGGACAAGTACGCTAAACCAGGCCTTAAAGTAGGTATATTTTCCGATCAAATCAGCATAGCAACAGGTGTGTAGCAGCAAGCCTCGAATTTTCACGATTTTTTTTCTCCTCTGCATTTTGTTATGACTGTGGCTACCATGTATGATTAAACACTTATATGCGCAAATTTTGCCATGAATATTATGATAAATGACGAATTTTGGATGTTTTCTTTCGAACTATGTCATTGGTTCTCGTTTCTTGGCTATATATTTTTTTTCCACATATGCTCATGAAATCTACTATTTTACAAAGAAGTAGAACAAGATGGATGAGTACTCTAAATCGGACCTTAAAGTAGGTATATTTCCCGATCAAATCAGCATAGCAACAGGTGTTTAGCACCAAAACTCGATTTTTCACGATTTTTTTTCCTCCTCTGCATTTTGTTCTGACTGTGGCTACCATGTATGATTAATCACGTATATGCGCAAATTTTGCCATAAAAATTATGATAAATGACGAATTTTGGATGTTTTCTTTCGAACTATGTCATTGGTTTTCGTTTCTTGGCTATATATTTTTTTTTTCGAATATGCTTATGAAATCGCTATTTTACAAACAAAGTAGAACAATATGGACAAATACTTTAAACCAGCCCTTAAAATAGGTATATTTCCCAATCAAATTAGCATAGCAACATGTGTGTAGCACCAAGACTCGATTTTTCACGATTTTTTTTTATCCTCTGCATTTTGTTATGACTGTGGCGTGGCTACCATGTATGATTAAACACTAATATGCGCAAATGTTGACATAAATATTATGACAAATGACACATTTTGGATGTTTTCTTTCGAACTGTCATTGGTTTTTGTTTCTTGTACATTTTGTTTCGACATATGCGTATTGAATCAACTGTTTTATTGCGTAATAAGTAAAAGTAGAATAATAGTTTAAATATAGTCTTAAAATTGATACATTTTGCCAAAATATCACATAATATTATTTATTTAGCATACGAAGTTCGAATTTTTCCAGATTTTTGTTATTGACTCAAAATCTTTTTTTTTTGTACCAGGAGTTTTTAGTAAGTAAGTAAGTAAGTAAGTAAGTAAGCAAAGTTAGTAAGTAAGTAAGAAAGTATGTAAGTAAGTAAGTAAGTAAGAGTAAGTAAGTAAATAAGAAAGTAAGTAACAGTTAGTAAGTAAGTAAGTAAGTGATTAAGTAAGAAAGTAAGTAAGTAGGTAAGTAAAACTAAGTAAGTAAGTAAGTGATTAAGTAAGAACGTAAGAAAGTAAGTAAGCAAGTAGGTAATTAAGTAAGTATGTAAGTAAGAGTAAGTAAGTAAGTAAGGAAGTATGTTAGAGAGTAAGTAAGTAGGTGAGTTAGTTAGAAAGTAAGTAAAAGTAAGGAAGTAAGTAAGTAAGAAAGTAAGTAAGTAGGTACGTAAAAGTAAGTAAGTAAGTAAATCATTAAGTAAGAAAGGAAGTAAGTATGTAAGTATAAGTAAGTAAGTAAGTAAGTGATTAAGTAAGAAAGTAAGTAAGCAAGTAGATAAGTAAGTATGTGAGTAAGAGTAAGTAAGTTAGTAAGTAAGGAAGTATGTAAGAGAGTAAGTAAGTAATAGTATAGTATAGTATAGTATGGTATAGTTTAGTTATGCTATACTCTACTCTACTCTACTCTACTCTACTCTACTCTACTCTACTCTACTCTACATTACTATTTTTTGCTACAACTCAGTTCAATAAACTACACTTTTCTATCTCATGAATCTGTTATATCTTTATTCTTTTAAAGAAATAATTACTGGCAAATAAAATATCAATAAATTTAAGTAAAATAAATCCCAATATTCCAAATGAGAAAACAATAAGTCATAAGAAAAATTACATTAAACGTTCTTTGGCTTAGTCCTACACAAATCAGTTCTTTTTCTCTTTTCTAGCCTCGGTTCTAACACGGTCCACTATCTTCTTGATCACGTTCTTCTCTGTGAGTTCCTCTTCATGTTTCTGTACCATATTTTCAAACAATAGTTTTCCTTCTTTCGATCTTTCTATTGATGATTTTATTGCACTTAATGTTAAGCGTCCTTCATTTATATTGTCTGCGCATATTTCAATAATCTTAATGGATTCCTGTCTATCAAAAAATCTCCTTTTATGTTTAACTATGAATTTCTGTTCTTCCTCTTCTTCTGGAGGCTCACATAACTCTTGTATGTTCAGTGGAGATTGAGGAGGTAGTTCTGGATCGTAATCTATTGTCTCCTTGTTGTCGTCCTCTTCTACATTTTCCTCAATAATCTTTGACCCTTCTGTATTTTCCAATGGTGTCACCTCCTCCTGTCCGTCCTGTGTTTGTCCCTCCATTGGCCAATTTTTTTTAATTAATCTTTACGGTTTTCCATGACGTTAGTTGTCAGTTTACTCATTGGAACAGCCATTTGGTGGCTGTTGTATACTTGATAATATTTATCGGCAGTTTTTGGGTCATGTGCCATATGGCGCGCTAAGTTTTCTCTTGATCCCAAATTTTCGATTACCACTAGTTTTTTCTGAGGCCAGTGGATGGATGTTGATGGATCTCTTGGTTCAACATTTTCCATTACGGACGATATCAATTTGACCATGGGTGCAGCCATCTCGCGTTGGTTGTAAAGAGCATAATGTCTGTCAGCAGTGACTACTGAATGGGTCATGTGTTTTGATAATGGTTCTCTCGCTTGAGGTGCTACAGCTCTTACACATGTAGATGTTGCTTTCCTAAATCTTGTACAAGAAACAGCCTTTTCTTCTCCTGTCTGAATATACCGCAGTGCAATAGCCTTTCACCGCTACATTGTTTTGCGGTAAAAGGCTACTACATTGCGGTATATTGCGACATAGTAGCCGTTTTACCGCAGTGCAGTTTTGCGGTAAAAGGCTACTACATTGCGGTATATTGCGACATAGTAGCCGTTTTACCGCAGTGCAATAGCCTTTTACCGCTACATTGTTTGCGGTAAAAGGCTACTACGTTGCGGTTAAATGCCACAATTTGCGGGAAATAGTTAAAATATTGCTGGAAAGTGGTTATAGCACTAAAAAAAATTTTGCTTTCGTTAAAAGCTTTACAGCAAAAGTGAAAAATAACCAAATTTTTTCTATTGAACTAATAGTGAAAGAGTGTATTTTCATTGAAATTTTTGACATATTCGTTGTTATTTTTTTGTGTGTCACATTTTCAAATAGATAAGTGCAAGGTTTTCATGATAAGCACTTCATTACCATATCACTTCACACATTCCTTTATGTATAGTCATGCATTGACGTCTGTAGTGCATTTTTTATCTCCTTTTGTATGTGTTGGGTTTTTTTTATAAATATATATTACATATTGAATATCTTTGTTAGTTCGATTTTATACTTTCGATCATTTACTTCACTGTATGACCATATCATTTAAACCTAATAACTAATGAAAGTTTTCCAAACCTTTCGTTTATTGTTTTGTACTTACAGCAATGACTCCTTGTCCGTCTTCTGTTATCTTTGCTCTCTTAAATCTTTCTTCTGTAATCCCCAACGCTGCCATGGGGGTTTGTGCGTTGCTTTGTAATATTCTGATTAATAAAAAGTCTCTGATGTTAAAAAACGTTTGTGAATCAGGCACTGTTGGTGGTGCTAAAGCCAACTCTCTGCATTGTCTAGCTTTATCCGACTTCAAAAACGATTGTATATCCTCCGGCATAATCATGGTTTCTGTAATAAAAACATTGAAAGCATGTTTACCAGCATATATATTTTAAAATGGATGTGGAGTATTCAAAATGAGATCATGATAATGAAATAGAAATACAGACATTGCAGTAAATGCAAATACATACATGTGTGTATTCATTTATACGTTTATACACATCTATACATGGGTGTACACATATTTACATTTGTTTATGCATATGTACATTGTGTATGCATGTACTTACTTGTACACATATTTACAAGTAAGTACATGTTTGTGCAGTTGTGTAATCAATTACAACCGTGTGTGTGTGTTTGTACATATATACGTATGTGTATGTATATACGTGCATGTGTACACATATACAAGTGTGTACACATATAAACATCTGTTTACACCTTTATACATGTATGTATACATATATATGTGTGTGCACATATATATACAGGTGTGTACACATATATATACAGGTGTGTTCACATATACATGTATGTACATGTTTTATGTGTGTATGTGTATACATGGATATGCACATATAGACATGCGTTTACACGTTTATACACCTGTATTCGCATATATGCAATGTACACACATGTTTACATATATATACACATCTATACATTGGGTAATATAATTTGCATACATATATTTTTGTGTATATATATACATGTGTGAACACATATACACGTATGTAGACATTTATACATGTGTGTTCATTCATATATATGTGTATATCTATACATGTGTATACACATATATACATGCTTTTACACACCTAGAAGTACACATATAGACATTTGTGCATGATGTACATCGTACACATATGTATACATATATGTGCACATCTATGCATGTGTTTTATCATTTTCAAATTTAGATGTGTGTGTATATATATACGTGAGTGTACATATATACGCATGTGAACACATATATATGTGTATGTACATATAAAAAAATGTGTGTACACATACATTCATATGTTTACAGATTTTTAAAAGTGTGTATTTTCAACTTACCACATTCTTCTGTCTCTATTACTGTTTTGCGGAGCTTCACTTTTTTGCCAAGCGTCTTGTCAAAAAAATATGATCCATCAGGCGTCGTGCTCTTGGTTCTTCTTGTTGAGGTATCAGCTCCGCATTTAACAGAAAAGTTACCAGTCGATTAACTGATCCAATATAGGAATTGACTGTTCCAGGTTGAAATGTTTTCAACGCCTCTCCCACCCAGCCATTGAGTGCCGTCTTTTCAAATAGTCCCTGTATTGTTAATTTCTCGGTCATGTATCTCCAAACATGGAATGCTTGATTAGCATGTTGACGTGCATTCACTCTGGTCATTAGCAGGGGCATCCTTTGCAACCAGTCGTAAAATTTTACAGTTATTTTATTGTCATAAAATGATGCTATCCGTTCCTTCCCTGACTTCTAGCTACATTCTGATTGTTTCTGTATTACAGCTATTGTCTCTTGTGTTTTTTACGTTTCTTCATTCCTGCTTTCTTCACCTTTTATCGAAGGTATTTCGAAATCCATTTTTCTTCGGTCCTCTTTCTGTCTTGTGTCTATCGTCTCTGATGTTTTTATGTGTTGTAAAGGTTCTGCAGAGCAAATAGGGTCCGAGATTTCTTCTCTGGTCTTATCTTCTGACTCAGGGTATGGAATTTCTTCCCTGGTCTCAACTTCACACTCTTTTACTGGTTGTTTGAAGTTTTCTGTTTCAGTACCAAGAAGTTTTTGTGCAAAGCGAATTTGAGTTTGCACCTGTTGACTTTTGTTTCCCTCGTCAATGTATCCCTCATTTGTAACTGGAATTGTCTCTGGTGTTTTTTCCGCTTCTTCATTCCTGCTTTCTGCACCTTTTATCGAAGGTATTTCGAAATCCATTTTTCCTCGGTCCTCTTTCTGTCTTGTGTCTATCGTCTCTGATGTTTTATGTTTGGTAAAGGTTCTGCAGAGTAAATAAGGTCCGGAATTTCTTCTCTGGTCTCATCTTCTGACTCCGGGTATGACATTTCTTCCCTGGTCTCATCTTCTGACTTTTTTACTGGTTGTTTTACGTTTTCTGTTTCAGTACCGAGAAGTTTAAGTGCAAAGCGAATTTGAGTTTGCACCTGTTGACTTGTTTCCCTCGTCAATGTATCCTTCGTTTACCAGAAAGCCTAAGAATTTGGAAAAGATGAAAGGTATCTAGAGATCAAAAGTTTTCCTTTCTTGTTTTTCTGACATGTCATAATCCAGTTCATTAATTTATAAACATCAAGAATTACTGTCAGACTTCTTATAGCGTCCATTCCCGTCCATACATGGAATGCCTCTGCGGCGGTTTGATGAGCTTCTTTTTTACTTATTCCATTGTCTATCTGGTTGTTAACAAACCGATTTATTCTTTTGTCTTGGATGAATATCACCACTGGTGGACGTTCTGGGGTTTCATGCGTTATACTTGATTCGTCGTGATCTTCACTTTCTGGATAACTCATAAAACATTGCTGGCTTTGTGTTGGTTCATCTGAGTCACTGATTGTAATTATGTCACCTTTCTTCTGTTTTATTATTGGTGTGAACTCACTTTTCTCTTGTTTTATGATAGGTGTTAACTCACTTTTCTCCTGTTTGATTTTAGGCTTTTTCCTTAACTGCGTCAGGGGTTGATTGTCATCGCTTCCATCCATTTCATCATCTTCTGAGTCTGTATCCTCTTTTGTAACTGGAATTGCCATACTCAGTAGCGTGGTTAATCTTTTGGAACCGTTCTTAACGTCATGTGTTCTCACGAGATGGTCATGCAGTCTTTCAATTATCTTTTGACATTTTCCAGTCTTTCTACTTGTAAAAGGGCAGAAGTACGTGACATAACCTCTTTTTGAGATAACCTTCTTTGGTTTTTTCACTTTATTTTTATGTACTTTTTGCATGTGCCTCCAGATATTTTGTTGGGGGGTTCCACATTCCGTGCAATTAACGTATTTGCGAATTCTACGAGGCTTAATAGGTACAACCCTTAAGGTTGGTTTCACACCTTCATCCTTTGCAGGTACAGCTCTTAACGTTGGTTTCATGTCTTCGTCCGTTTCAGACTTCGGGGACATTTCTTCTTCAAATTTCCTTTTTTTCGTTTTCCTATCGTCCTTTGCAGGTACAGCTCTTTGCGTTGGTTTCATGTCTTCGCCCGTTTCAGACTTCGGGGACATTTCTTCTTCTATTTTCCTTTTTTTTTTTTTTTTTCCTATCGTCCTTTGCAGGTTCAACTCTTTGCGTTGGTTTCATGTCTTCGTCCGTTTCAGACTCAGGGGATATTTCTTCTTCAATTTTCCTTGTTCTCGTTTTCCGGAAGAGGACTACATTTAGTGGAACTTTGTGTTTTCTTTTCGGTGTACTCTGCGAAGGCGTGAAATCATCTGGTGATTCGTCGTTTGAAGGTAGGAAAAGATCTGGTGATTCGTCGCTTGACATCTGGAAGAAAAGAGAACGCCTTTGTTAAGTATTGCGAGTTGTTAAACAAGCGGTATATTGCGGTAAAAGGCTACTACATTGCGGTATATTGCGACATAGTAGCCGTTTTACCGCAGTGCAATAGCCTTTTACCGCTACATTGTTTGGCGGTAAAAGACTACTACATTGCGGTATTTTGCGACATAGTAGCCGTTTTACCGCAGTGCAATAGCCTTTTACCGCTACATTGTTTGGCGGTAAAAGGCTACTACATTGCGGTATATTGCGACATAGTAGCCGTTTTACCGCAGTGCAATAGCCTTTTACCGCTACATTGTTTGGCGGTAAAAGGCTACTACATTGCGGTATATTGCGACATAGTAGCCGTTTTACCGCAGTTCAATAGCCTTTTACCGCTACATTGTTTGCGGTAAAAGGCTACTACGTTGCGGTAAAATGCTACAATTTGCGGGAAATAGTTAAAATATTGCTGGAAAGTGGTTATAGCACTAAAAAAAAATTTACTTTCGTTAAAACCTTTACAGCAAAAGTGAAAAATAACCAAATTTCTTCTATTGAACTAATAGTGAAAGAGTGTATTTTCATTGAAATTCTTGACATATTCGTTGTTTTATTTGTGTGTCACATTTTCAAATAGATAAGTGCAAGGTTTTCATGATAAGCACTTCATTACCATATCACTTCACACATTCCTTTATGTATAGTCATGCATTGACGTCTTTAGTGCATTTTTTATCTCCTTTTGTATGTGTTGGGTTTTTTTATAAATATATATTACATATTGAATATCTTTGTTAGTATTCGATTTTATACTTTCGATCATTTACTTCACTGTATGACCATATCATTTAAACCTAATAACTAATGAAAGTTTTCCAAACCTTTCGTTTACTGTTTTGTACTTACAGCAATGACAACGGTGCCCTTTTGTTGTAGTTTTGATTGTCTGTTGGTTTGAGGTTTTTTTGTCTCATGACATTTCCCCCACATTTTTAATTGTACTATGCATACATATATAAATACAGTCACATATGTACATACACAAAAGCATACACACATACATTAATTAATTGAATCCAAAGACATCAGATAGATATTGTAACAAAATTGCTATAACAATTACATTTGGTGTAAAATTAATTGAAACGGAATGTAACAACGACTTACGTTATTTAGATAATACTGGAGACGTATGTGTTATTTTGATATCTGGTGTCAAACATTACAATAATCAAATATGCCTTGTTCAGTCTTGGGGAGCCGCCCATTACTTGATGCATGTAGAGTTGTTCGGGCATTCTCAATGATATGAAATAAATGTTTTATCCTAATATTCAAAAAGAAAAAAGAAAACTTTGTCAAGTATTCATTTTGATATGAATGCAAGAAAAATCATATGAAATTAAAAAACTAGTATAAATAACAGCACCTTGTCCTAATTTTTGAATAATCTTATGTTAACTTAACCATCTAATCACTTAATTGCCTTCAACCAAACAAAAACTTATAACAAAAAATAAAGAGAGTTTATGAGAAAAATAAAAACAAACAAATCTTTTCAAAATCATGGGATTTGTTTTCATAAAAGTTTACTAGTGAATAATAATCGATGTATGTATGTATGTATGTATGTATGTATGTATGTATGTATGTATGTATGTATGCATGCATGCATGTGCATATATATATATATGTATGTATGTATGTATGTATGTATGTATGTATGTATGTATGTGTATATATTTATGTATATGTGTATGTATGTATTTTTTTTTATCAGTGCGTGTGATTATTTGCATGTATGTATTTGTTATGTATTTATGTATATGTGTATGTAATTATTTGTGTATATCTGTGTGTATGTATTTATGTATAAATATATATATATGTTTGTAGGGTACCATAAATATGTCTAATTTTCTTGTTTTTTTTACAATGAGGAGATATTAGGGCAAGATGTGATATATCATATACAGCGCTAAGCGTTTCATATGATATTTCTAAAATTGTTGTTCTCGAAAAAGAAAATTAACTTTTTTTTTCCAAAATTCAGCAGAAGTGTATCTTTTTTGTTTTCGATCTATTTTCTTATAGTAAGTGCGTGTTGAAAAAGTATTGAGATTGTCTTTAATAATAGCTATTTAAATATATCTCTTAATAGTCTTTTCAGGATTCACTGTCTTTTTCGGTTGGAACGGTGAAATTCTAATTATCAAACCTAACTGGGAAAACGCTTAAAATAAGACTTTTTTGTAAGAATATCTGCCTTAATAGTTATAAAGTGTTCTTATTGTTTTGCGGTAAAAGGCTACTACATTGCGGTATATTGCGACATAGTAGCCGTTTTACCGCAGTGCAATAGCCTTTTACCGCTACATTGTTTTGCGGTAAAAGGCTACTACATTGCGGTACATTGCGACATAGTAGCCGTTTTACCGCTACATTGTTTTGCGGTAAAAGGCTACTACATTGCGGTAAATTGCGACATAGTAGCCGTTTTACCGCAGTGCAATAGCCTTTTACCGCTATATTGTTTGGCGGTAAAAGGCTACTTTCACGCGGTAATGGGCTACATTTTTGCGGGAAATGGCTACATTTCTGCGCTTAAATGGCATTTATGTGGCTTATTTTAAAAAGAAATACAGCGAATGCAAACAAAACAAACGAAATTCATGTATATCCTTAAATATGGAAATAAATAGAAAAAAAAACGTTTTTCCATCATTCTGTACATATCTATGTATCTATACAGCATTATGAACCGTAGTTATTACGATCTACAGTGATCATTTAGTTACATATAAACAAACTAACTTAAATACTTAATGTCTCGTCATTTAATTATATACAGTAGGAGCATGACTAAACGAGAAGGGTTTTGATCATTGTCTGTAGCAATTACCGTAACACTTGAAAGTAACAAGGTAAAAGATTAAAGTTTTGTCACTGTCTTTTAATTTTCACTGTTTATAATTAAGAAACAACTGTATCTGTGTCTGAGGTGGATAAATGTCGATGTCTGAGGTGGTTAAAAATGTCTATGTCTGAAAGGGACAATTTTCTAGATTTATACTCACATTTACAGTTTCGAAAGAATCACCACCCCACCAAAGACTGGTTCTGATAATTATTTAGAAAGATACAGCTGAAATGTTTGTTTTTTGATTCCAGAAAATTTTTTAAAGAAAAATAAGATGCAATTGAATAAAGTAACAAATGATTTCTACCACAAACAGAACTTAACTTTCTTAAACTATCCTGGATTTGTACCAAACTTGGAAAGAAGCTTGTTTATGATCATAAGATAGTATCCAGAAGTAAATTTTATTTTTAAAAAAAAAATCCATTTTTTCCGTATTTTACTTATAGATGGACTTAGTTTTTCTGCCAGTTAACATTACATTCACTCTGTGGTTAAAGTTTTTAAAATTTTAACAACTTTCTTAAACTATCCTGGATTTGTACCAAACTTGGACAGAAGCTTGTTTATGATTAAAAGCTAGTATCTAAAAAGAAATTTTGTTAAAATTTTGTTCCATTTTTCCATATTTTACTTATAAATGGACTTAGTTTTTCTTCCAGCTAACATTACATAACAGTCTGCAGATTAAGTTTTTAAAACATTTATTAGATTCATAAGCTATCCTGGATTTTTACCAAACTTGGACAGAAGCTACTTACAATCAAAAGATAGTATAGAGAGGAATATTTTTATTATTTTTTTTCCTCATTTTTGTTCAGCCTGTGATTAACAGCAAAAGTAGGCGAGACACTGGGTTCCGCGGAACCCTTACGAATTTTTTTCCAGTGGCAGTCCAAATTTCCGCGACTCCTGGTTTTCAATTTCAGCTAAATAGCTTCTAAATTCTCATCATCTACCACGTCTACGAGTTTAGAGGTTCTAGTTTCTTGTCTCTTTATACTGTAATGGCCTACATGTTAATGACAGCAGCATTGTTCAAATTTCCTCTTACAAGGAATTTGATATAAAACCCGATCATGTATATAAAATATACCAGGCAGATAAAAACACCTATGGTATCCTGGTAAAACCAAAAACAAAGGTAAAAACCTCGTTACTTTTTCCATAGACCACATAAATCATATACTGTAGCTGCACCGAGTACGAATGTTTCAATAGCAGCCTGAATGTTATTTAAGGAGATACCAATACCAACTTGTGACAGGTGCCTAAGGTGCATGCCGTCATGTCTAAATAAATTTGATTCAGAGGCTTTCATAGCTTGATACCCCAAAATATATTGACCTTCGATCTTCAAAAATGATCTCGTTTACTCTTTTTCTGCTTTGACTCATGCAAATAGGGCCTTGGTAAATATATGACCATATTATTTTAATGACAGTTGAAAAATCTTTACTCTTAAAATTGAACATTTGATGTTATCGATTAAAACTTTTGATTTCAGTAGAAAAAAATCAAGTTAATATTTAAGTAGATCGTTTGTTTGAAACAAATGTTAAAAGTTAAGAAAAGCTGTTTCGGGGTCACATTCATGAAATTTAAATTTAAAACAGAAAAAGACCAAATTAAATAATACATGTATGCGTGGCTACTATAAGTTCTTGATTTAAAATAAGGATTCACTAAGACAAGTAAAGACATTCGGACATCAACAGTGCCTATTGTAAAATGACAAAAGCAATGATTGAGTACAGGCTTTTTATTTTATAGGGTATACTTATCATGCTCATACTGTATTTAGTGAATCAAGTATGAGCTATACATGTTTGTTTGATATTTTGATTATTTGAATTAAAAGCATGCTTTGTAAAAAAATTAATAACACTTTCACAAGCCCCAATAGGAATAACAATGCCAATTTTATTCCTGATAGTGATCACATTTGCCAAAGTCAGTTGCCTTTCCTTCCTGTATTATTGGACCTGAACCTGAAGTTCTCATGTCTGGCCGAGTACTTGCTATTGGTTGAATCTCACAGTAAACCCGCTTTCTTTTGTTATCCGTTCTTTAA